ATTGCATTTTTCTTTGCATCATTTATGAAAACTGTTCTATCTGTGTCATCACCTATACAATGGGTAAGTTAATGCCCAACTGAAAAGGGTAAGAAAATCATTTATTAATGAAAGCTGAAAGTTCTCTGAGGTTAATCGCCTCTCTCATCTACTTAGCTTCTTGCTTAGGATATCTCTTATCTTTAAGAAGTTTATGATTTTGATATGATTTGCATTTCTAAACTTAACTAATATTGGGGAGAATTAGTCCTTTCAAAAAGGATCGCCCCCTCACTTGACTTCATCTTTCTACCCACCCCCCATCTACTGGCAGCCAGGTAGCCACTCATCTTTCTCTCTTGTCCCTATAATTATGTCATTTCATGAATGCTATATAAATGGAATAATGCAGTATATATCCTTTTGAGGTTGGCTTTTGTACTTAGCATAATTTCCTTGAGCTGGTTGTGTATACCAGTGGTTCATTTTGTTTTATTGCTGAGTATTCTAGGCTATAGATGTACCACAGTTTGTTGAATCATTTACCCATCGAAGGACATTTGGATGGTTTCCAGTTTGGGGCTATTAAGGATAAAACTGCTGTGAACATTCATGGACAAGTTTCTGCATGAAGATAAGTTTTCATTTCTCTGGGATAAATGCCCAACTCTGCAATTGCTGGGTCATGTGCTAAGCCCATTTTTAGTCTTATAAGAAACTGCCAAACTATTTTCCAATGTGGCGGCACCATGTACCTTCCCACCAGCAATATATCAGGGCTCCAATTGCTCCGCAGCCTCATCAGCACCTGTTCTCATCTGTTCTTTTGATTAGAGCCATCCTGGTGGGTGTAAAAATGTATCTCACTGTAGTTTGATTTGCATTTCCCTAATGACTAATGATGTTGAGTATCTTTTTCCCATGCTTATTGGCACTTTGTATATTTTCTTTGGAACACTTATCTATTCAAGTCCTTTATCTGTTTTAAAATTGGGTTTCTTTTCATTGTTGAATTGGGAGAGTTCTTTACATATTCTTGATAAATGGCTTTTCTCAGATTTATGATTTGCAAATATTTTCTCCTTTCTGTGGGTTGTCTTTTCACTATCTCGATGGATATTGGGAGAGAAGGGCCCAGTCATGTTGATTGTACTTGCCTGAGTTTCTCTAAGGCAGACTTGCTAGGGGTTGGTCAGGTCATGGCTCAAATGCCCCAGACACTCAGCTGTTCATACCAAGATCTGGTAAATTCTCTTGAATGAATATTTTTCCATTTGTCATTATGCCGTTAGGACAATTTCCAGAAACCTTAAATGAATTTTTAAAAAATAATTTTTCCCAGCTAAATTGGTGTTTTGCTGGGGAGAGTGGCCACAGAGTTCCTTACTGTGTCAATCTGGAAGACTGGTCTTCCATAGTCTACTTTGTAGAACAAATACCCCCAGATTTTACCTTACGTTCCCGTCAGCCTTTCCTAGTTGTTGGGTGATTCTTTGATAGGTTTAGCAGCTAGAGAAGGATCTTTTCCACACAACATTTGCAGGACTGGAACAGTGCCTGGAACATAGTACTTCTTGAAAGAATGACTGATAAGCGAAGGAGTTGAAGCATCTCATAGGAGGGGGGTGTGGGGCATGTGAGAACATCAAAATGGAGAGGGGCCCGGTCCACAGAAGGCTTGCTCAGGGGGGCACCAAACACGTATGTGGCCCAGCTTGGTCCATCTTCTGCCTCCCTTGCAGAGCATCATTACTCCTTTATTCATAACATAGTAATAATTTACAGGCTCATTGTCACTGGGGCCCAGAAGAGTTTGAACATGGTTAGAAATCTGAAAATCGTTGTAAGCTATACATGTATATGTTCTGTTTGTGTCTTTGTGTGTCATTATGACTACACGTGTTAAACATCCGTTGTGTACGCGTGAGCAGATATCTGTATACATATATGCACACACATATGTGCAATGGTTATGGAAAACTTGGAGCAGTAGGATGTTTGCAAAGAACATTCTTCCTTCTTCCCTGACAATCATAACAAAGAAAAATGGAATGTCAGACAATCTTTAGTCAGCTAGCCCAGCTGGCTCGTTTGGCAGGTGAGAAAACAGGCCCAGAAAGCCCACGTGCTGTGTTCATAGTCTCACATCCACCTAGTGGGTTCCCGATTCCTGCGAGAGTACATCCCACACCTCATGGTACCTCCTAAGTGAAGGAACACAAGCCTCACTCGTGTAAGCTTCATTTGCCACGTCAGCAAATACTTACTCTATTCAACACCCAGGTATAACTGTCATTTTAATTTCTCCGCTAACTTTTCTGCCTTTTCTCTCCCTCCACTCCTTCCCTAAAGTTAAATTCTCCACCTGGCAACTTTGAAACTTGTTACAATCCAGAACATTCATAGGGTTTTACATTTTTAGCAGCCTAATGATGATGATGTAGGACCTTCAGTGCTAGCCCCTCAGGGGTTTCTATTCCTGGCATTTATTAAACTTTGCTGTAGCCTGAAGTATATCTGACCTTTTTATACTAAAAAATTGCAGTTTAAACTTTATGCATATATGTGTATGTACGTGTGTACATATTTCCCTCTTCTCCATCGATTAGGTAGGGATTCAGGCATTATCAACAGCTGAACTTGAACATACTTGTCAATTTTCCCCCTATATTTTATGATGAAAAAAGAAAGGAAGCCATTACCATCAGAATTTAATATTTTTCAAATTTAGCTAAATTTGAGCCCTCTTGAAACTCTTTTCTACTTTGAAGTCTATTTTGCAGTTTAATTAATGCAGCAAGGGTTTTTATTTTACTCTCAATGGAGATAATCTTAATCCATTCACGGTGACCTTTTCTTGTGCAAATTAGTTCTACACGCTTGTTTAAGCAAATGGCTCTTTGCATGATGTCTCTTCTTAATGACGGGTTTATAATTGAAAATTGGCTTACTCCCATACGCCTAGTTTGTATGAGAATATAAAAATAGATGTGGACTTTAAAAATATAAATTTATATATCAGGATCCCCAAAAGAGGAGGGAAGAATCCAGTGCCTTCAGGCTATGATTAAATTAGACTATTAGAGTCAGAAAATGCTGGTGACATACGCTGCTGTCAAAGTCACACCTGTCTGCGGAGCATTGGAAGCTCTTGAAAAATGAGAGTGATTTCATCTTAGCTCTGCTGTGAATCGGGGCCTGCACAGGACAGTAGCCATCTCGAGTTTCCCAGGTTTTCTTAAATTCATAGTGAACTTGAAATTGTGGTTGGGAATGTGTTTGTGGAAATCGCTTTTAAACTGATAACCCTAAACAAAAAGAAATGCTTCTTATCTTTCCTACACTTCACCAGCAGAAAGAGACAGGCGACACTCGTGTTGTATTTTGCATTTTTTCAAGTGCAAAAACAGAGTAATGCCATTAAATGGTATCTGTATGGGAGGAACAGTCATACCTTGGTATCCCTCTTGCCCCATTTCTTAGGCTAGCTCTTCTCCTGCAAGTCATGTCCGCCACTCTCATACAGGAGTATTTGGCTAGGGGAGCGATTTTCAACCACAGCACACTGGTGTGCTGCAAAAATATTTAGTCAGGGGCACTGACCTCTTTTCCCTTAGATTGTCAAGTGAAAAATGACAGCGGCCAGCACAACAATAGCCATCAGCATGAATGAATCAAAATATACCTTTTTTTTTTT